TGACACGCGTGTCATAGGTTCGCCATCACTGCTCTAGGAGCTCTCCTTAGCCTCGCCTCCCCTCCCCAGACACCTGGATGGTGTCTGTTTTCATTTCTCCAACTGAGTGGGTTGGGTAGATTCAGGAGTAAAATGACTACCTTAAGCCTGGAAGAAGCTTTCATCATGATTTTATTCCTTAAAATACTTGACTTTTCAAAGAACAGACTTTGGCACTATCCACTAATTGAGTGCTAACTCAACAAAGCCTCATATGTGCCCTGAGGTTTTATAAGATGTACTTTTCTCCATTAGATACAGAACAATTTATTTTATAATCTATAGTTAGAAATCGCCTTTACCAAATTGGAGTAGCCCAGATACATTGGAATGACAACTTCCCAGAATCAATACTTGTGGGAGAACTTTGAAAGTTGTAGCCATACACATATGAAAACATGCTTAGGGAAAGCTTGGCCAGGATATTACACTATCTTTATCTTAATCATGAAGGTGCTCACAAACCTATTTTATAACAATGGTTATCCTAGAACTCATGAACTGAGTAGTTTAGGAATATCTGACATTGTAATCAACATAAATTTCCAACCTGCTGCCCTCTAGTCCATACCTAGAATATTATGCCCAATTCCAGCTCCGCAGTTCAAAATGAACATTAACAAATTTGAATGTGTCCACAGGAAAATAACCAAGGGGGTAAGAGACTTGGAAAGAAAAAGTTCTGAGGAGTTATTGGAATTGTTGAGTATATTGTGGAAGAACGTCAGATGTCTTCAGATATCTGAATCTCTGCCATGTACATTATGATCAATATTGTTCAAGAATATATAACAAGAAACCATGGATTTAAATTATAAGGAAACAGATTTCAATTGGAAATCAGAAAATTTTTCTAACATTAACAATTGTTCAATAAAAGAATCACTTGCCTCAAAAGACAATGGAAGTGTTTAAATAGAAGGTAGATGGCCATCTGCTTAGAGTGCTTAGTAGTGGTCAGGTGGGCGGACCAAATGCTTTTCGAGTCCCTTCTAACCCTTATATTCTACTATTGTATTGGCTATGTTGATTGGGGATTATGAAAGCTTTAATCCAATATTTTTGCTAGGAGACTGGTTAGGAGTTCTAAATAAACTTCTTTAATAGAATGCAGATTCCTCTGTGTTAATGCTTCCTTAGAAGTCTACATATGTCTAAATAGTTGGGTAAGCTAAACTGCATTTCTACTATATTTATATTCCAGTAATTTTTAATGACATTCAGAGGTCTATTTACATGATGTTGAATAATTTGACCTTGTCATTTAAGATAGTTGTCCAAAATACAGTATACACCTCAAAGAGATGGGTGAACTATGCTTGCACACTGGTAATTGAGCAAGCATTCTTCCACAGTTGGATGATAAAGCATCAATTCCTGTGCCATCTGCAACCTTCAAGGCTAATTTCACTCTAAATAGTGATAGTAATAGTGTGATCAAGCTTGGGGATTTCAATGCAAAGCAAAGCACTGGTTGTATTAATTACTGACTGTAATTTTGCTTTTTTTTTTTACCTCAGCTACTGATTTTATTTATGCAGTGTTTTATACAATTTTTTGTTGTTCTATAGTTTTTAATTCCTATATGCCCAGAGTCATGAATTTATATGGGGAATCATATAAACTGAAATAATAACTAAGTATATAACTTAATGCCCAACTTGCCTTAATGTTATTTAATACATTGATTTAATGCCAAACTCGCCTAATGTTTCACAATGTGAAATAACAATATGTCCCCACTCTGTAGAGGGGGAAAAAGGAGAAAAGGCATCCTCATTCACTTAGCTTCAGAACAGTCCTGGCATGTATCCCCAGCAGAATCTGGCAGTAAGACAAGTTGTCCTTTGAGACCTATAGAATGACTCGGTTTTACTTCCTCTCTTCACATCTTTTGAATTAAATAATTTTCTTATGATCTCTTCTTGTCAGCAGTGAAGGGTTGCTTAAAGATCGATCTTAAAATTCATCTGAAGTGCACCTACTGCAGCATTCCTGCTCTCAACATTACACAATGTTACTGAGAACATGTTTGTAAGAGAACGTTTGTGCAAGCTTTATCAATCTGTCATGACAGCATGGCAGAAAAAACAAGGCTACAATTAGTTACACGAGGAATATTTAGTTATATTTGTTTTATAGGGCTGACAGGCCACTCCAACCACAACCAACTGTGGCTAGAGGTCTGTCTCAACTCTGTATTCCTTTCTATCTGCAGTGAATCTTGAGACACTTTTGTGTATGAGGAAAAATCATGTGGAATAAGCTTTCTGAGGCTGTACCAGTTTGGAATATAAATGGGAGTTTCTGTGGTTTGCAAAAAATATCTCAATTTTACTCAGGTGGAAAAAATGCATCATTTCCCCCTCACTTTTAGTGTGATAATATCCCATCGACCAATGTTTTATATTCATGGCAAAGTTCCAGAAATGTTCCCCACCCAGCTTTTTAAAAAGGTACAGTCATTGATGTTTTGCATGAGCACATATGGTTCTGCAAGCATCTAAAAAAAAATTAGACAGTATGTAAAGGCCAATCTGGGAATAATAAAAAAAGCAGCTGAATTGTTTCCAGTCTTTGGACTTTCCCAGAAAGGAACTCCTTGCTTATTTGCCTCTTCTATGCTCTGGCTTCAAGACACCCTTCCAGAGTTGTGCTGTGGAGCTGTTCTCAAAGGAAAGCAATGAGAAGGGTTGAAAATGAAGCTTGATAGATTTCAAATAAAGCTTTATTCTGGAACCAAATGATCTGAAGTTATGGTATGGAACTGTGCGTCAAGTTATTTCAAACTTAGAAATAACAAATTGGAACAATCATTTTTAGAAATCCCAAAGGCCAAGGGCCTTTCATTAGCTGCTTCTGTCTTCTGTCACTCTGTACCCTGAGTTCATTAAATATTTAAAGAGCAATGTAAAGATAGGCCTTAAATATTCACTTATTTGTTCAGTGTCAATACAAATTCACAGCATTGTCCTTCCAGTACAGGGCCAGTATATTGGCAAAAGTAGAGTAAAGTGCACTAAACTTCTTTTTAAAGCTCTTCTACAGAATTTTCTTTAACGTACATTTACAGCAGAAAATCACAGACAGTGCCACCCATGTTTCTAATTATCTTATTATCCATTAATTATCCCTGTGTACTTGGGATAACTGCTGCCTGAAAAGTGGCCATAGTTTCAAAAGAGTTAAAAAAAAAACACATGGCATTAGAGATGATCTTGCATTCCAGCACATGGCACAACTTTATACTGGACAAAGAGTCACTTGACAACAACCTTACCAAGTTGTACATGGTATGCGTGTGAGTGTCTGCCTTAAAATTAAAGTTGGAGATGTCAGCAGAAGCACCCACACCCAACAGCCTGCTACAGCAACTCCTGCTCATCATCTTCTGATCCAGAAGGTCCTTGTCGTACCTCCTCATACCATTTGTTGGTGAGGCTTTTCATCTGTATGCGCCCATGATGTAGGTCCTATGGTAAAGGGAAGATGCAGCCGCTTTAGAAAGTTAGAATTGCAGTCTTAGCAAAAATGTTTAAAAATATGTCCACCAAATGTTGGAAATGTAATAAAAAACCGGCCACCTATTATCACCTGTGGTGGACATGCCCAAAAGCAAAAAAATGTTAGGTGAAAATGCATACTTGCTTAGAAAAAATGTTAAGACAGCATATAGATTTTTAAGACAGAACTGTTTTTGTTAGGCATACCACCAGAAAAATATGGTAAAGGGGATGTATATTTGATATTACATGTTTTAACAGCAGCAAGAATTGTATTTGCATAACACTGGAAAAGCAAGGAAACACCTACGGAAGAAGATATAATTAAAAAAAATATTGGACTGTGCAGAAATGGACAGATTAACACTG